CTGAATTTATCGCAAAATAAAGCAAACTCCACAATTTTCGCAAGAGCTCGCAAATTTTCGTCGCAGATTTTGGGCTTAGACGCGTCCCGTGACATCATTGCAACGCGCATTCGTCAATGAAAGGTTGTTCTCAGTTCCAAAAATGGAATGAACAGGCTTGCGTTCTCATCATGACCGATTTACAAGAGCTACACTGGACAAACGAACCGAAAGCGTAACGAATCCGCGCTACTCGTTTGGGCTACGCAGCGCAGCCCGCCGCGGGTTGATCTCGATCACGCGACACCGTTATACACAGCGCTGGGAGATACAGTGAAGAAAGCAGTCGAATTCACCGCAGAATCAATAACATCTCTGTGAAATCTTGTGAGAAGCATTCCCATTCGGCGCAGAATTCTAGTTATTTTTAATGTGATGACATTATTTGTTCATCCTTCATAGCAGGGCTCCAAACAAAAAAAAAATCGAGTAAGGAGCCATTGGCTCCTATAAGAAAAATTTTTAGTCGCCAAATTATTTTTTTAGGTGCCACAGAATAAACGTCTTTTATTTATTTTATTATTATTTTTTAACATTTCAATCATACTTTCATGTGATTATGTCTAATCTTTTCTTGAATTTAAAATATCACGGATCATAACAAGCATCACTTGGCCACTGAGTGTAGTTTGGGCTCCTCCTCAGGGCATCCTACAAGGGTTGTCATATGTCTTTCACACATTCAGTCTGTTTTTCTTCATTAGTAAAATGCAATTTTGTAGGAGGAGTTGAATCATGTAGACAACAGGTTAAGTAAAAACATTAACATCCAATAGCGCATACATATAGCAAAATGCTCTTCTTTATAGTTATTTTTCTAGCTGACTGATGACCTTATGGACACCGAATGGTTATTCTGGGGTAAATGTATTATTACATTGCAATGTTTACAAGCTTTACGTGTTTTCCACAGTTTGAAACACTGAATGAGCTTTTACATGAGACATTTCAGTAAGTTGTACTGTAGGTTTTCTTATAAAATAGGCTACGTTTTGATGTTAATTCATGTTCATTATGTACATAGTAGTAAAGAGAAAGATATAATGGGTTCACTTGCCGCTTGAACTTCATATTATTTGAAGCATTTATTGATCGCTTTAGCGCTTCAGCACCTGCCGCATTAAAGAGCGCCAAAACAACGTATTTATTGTTTGAATTTCGTTATGAATTTGACAATTTTAAAGCTGATACTTTGTTTGT